CCTGCTTGAAAGCAAAACAAGATTGCTAAGCAGCATTAAATCTTCATTAGCTTTCCACAACTAAGTCCTGAAACCAGCAGTTTTGTTACAGTCGAATGCATCAACAAACAAATACGAAGTTCAGTTATTAACTAGTACTTCTTTTTCTCAAGTACCATCCCAAGGTTTTGCCAAATTTTGGTGGCTTTTTTTTCCCTGTAGAGACTGTAAAGAGTTTTACTCTAAAACCCGCATCAGCTAAGTGGAAGAAATGTATCCTTTGGCAAGCTAAAAACACACCTACCATCAAATTTACCATGTTCCCACAAAAATATGCTCTGTTCTGCTGACATTAAAGCACATTACAGTGAATGGGCCCTCCAAACAAAACCATCTGAAATATAAAGATTTTATTTAGGGCTGTTCCTGGCGCTGGCAAAGCTCCAGTCTATTTGAAGGGTGTTCTGTCTGCCCACTGAGCCTAGATTTTTATTTTCTGTTGCAATTTTCATGTTATCAGAAGCATTGCTCCATTTTTACATTAGCATTAATCCCAATGCAAGCTAGTCAGAGACAAATGTACTGGGCACTGCAGGTAGACTAGTCCTTAACAAATTTTCCTCAAGTCTCACTGCAATGTACATTAAAAAAACTAATACATATCTAATTAATCTAATTCTAATTAATTTTCAAGTTCCAGTAAGAAAATTACATTTGCTACTGACGCAAATTGTTAAGAGTCTAGTTAGAACCCTACCTTTCAACAGGGCACCACAATAAACTCAAAAGAAAATGTAAAGAACATTCAAAAGTAACTCTGGATTGAGACTCTGTGAAGATAAATGATACTCTCTTGCTTTCTTTTTTTTTAAAGCAGCAGTCAAATTGGGAGTATGAAAACCAAAAAAAAAGAGCAGTTGTCTTAAACATTCAAACAAATCTGTGCTGCAAACAGCCAATGTGACAATATTGGGGACCCATATTGAGCCACTCAGAACACTACTTTGCACAAAGTCTAAGTGTATGCAGCATGGCTGTGTTTTTCATTAGTTAACATTATTAAGGAGAAAAGGAACAGTGCCTACGTCTCTGTCTCTTAAGAACCGTCATTGGCAAAGGACCATCAACAACAAAGCAGCTCTTCTGAAGCAGAATAATGACATCCTGCAGATCAGGTGATGCCCCCTTACTCACAGGCAGGCTCAAGGGAGCTAAGCAAGAGGCCACTACGTGATGAACTCTCATCATCTGAGTGAGGGTTTTGAGAACAAGCAAGAGAATCACAGAGCAGATGGATGTGAAGGCATGAAAGGATTAAGTGTCCATGCTCCCACTCACAATAGAGACGGAAATCTTTTGATATGCAGATGGTGAGACCAGAAGAAAGGAACCAAGAATGCAGGGGGATTTACGCACTATATTCATGAAAACTGAGGTTGACAGCCAGATGTTTGTGTGCCTTATTTTGGATGGGACTCTATATACTCCTCCTACAGTCCGGAAGGAAAATGTGATTGGTTTAGAAAACCTGCAAAAATATGCATTTTAATGGCTTACACTGTTGGGTTTTTTTAGTACAGGTGTTAAACTGGAAAGCAGAGTATCACTAGCAGGGTGTTCTGGGATATGGCTCCTTGAGGACTGGAAAAGAAAAGTGGTCTCAGAAAAACAGAAAGCATGCCCTATTTCTAATAAATGAGCAAAGAACCCCCCTGTCTGACACCAAAAGCATTAATCCAGAGGGCAAAGAAACTGTGCCTGGAATCTACTCAGTCAAGAGGACTTAAGAGGTACAGACCTCAGCAAGCTGCCTAAACACATTGTCTGATGCGTGTCTAACAAGGTGACAGTGTACTAAGCTTTGGAAGAACCAGAAATGCACTATACACAAATTGAAAACTTGACATTAATAACATACAATTTTATCATAGCATACTTAAAATTAAGAAGGTATGTATATGAGACGCCCCCTGCCCCAAACGTTAATAATGGCATCCAGAGATAAATCTAAACCAAAATGCATTAGGAGAATGTGTGCTAAATCTGGAAAACTGGGAAGTTGAAGGAAGGCTCTCCAGTTCCTCACGAGATCTATATAGACATTGCTGTAAAGATGTTTCTGAGCACTGAGATTCTGCAGTGAGCTGAATCTTCTAACTTTTAAAAGACACACTGTAACAGGAGATGTGCTTTAAAGGAATTCAAACATCAAAATTTTCATTAGCTTATTGATGAGTTTTCCGCTTTTGGAAGAAGAAGGAGAGGCTAACTTTTTGGCCAAATTTTCTACAAATGTTCCATGTTTCAAATGCTGACCTGCATATTTGCTCTCTGCTAAACGTTAATGTACATCTCTGCCTTGGAAGATGAAAACCGACTTCCACAGGACAGGTATCTCCACTAGGATCATGCTTCGACAGACTAACTCAACAGTTCAGATTTTCTTCATTGCCGAGAACACTTCGGTGCAGGAATCTACCAGAAGACTATTTACAACCTGAAAAAGTTGACATCACTCTTCTGAAGGAAGATAATCAGAAATAAGATAGTCTAAAGAAAAGGGTACACCTCCCAGAAGGGTATTAAATCTGAACCCAAGGGATGTTCATACAACGCATTCCATAAAAATTTTAACCATCCCCAAGTCATTGGTTCTGATTCCCACATCATACAGGAATTTTTCAGAATTTTCATATGTGCAGATAAACAAAATGTACGTTCCAAGTAATTCACCTAATTAGAGTCTCAAGCTCTAATGTATAAGGTGAGCCATCTTTACAAAAACAATTTATGCTGAGAATGCTTTATAGCCTTTTGTACAGCAAGAAACTGCTTCTGACATCAAAGAACTGGTTAATATATTCTAAATAAATACCAGAAATAAAACTCGGGATTATTTGAGCGCTGCTCTAGAGCAGAGCTGAAGAGCACAAACAGATTATTATAGGAAATCTGAACTATACATATTTGAGAACAACCTGAAAATGCAGTCCTCTCTGAGATATTTCTAGCTCACCATCTATTGTGCAGTAAGATGTGCAGACAAGCAGCAGCTAAACCAAGAACCACCTCCACTACTTGTGCTATCTTATTAAAGGAAAAAATAAAAGACATAAGAAAAGGAGCTGGGGAGGGGCAGGAGAGCACAGTCAATGCTCCATGTAAGATATTAGTCACTGAGAACGCAACAGGAACTCACAACAGACTGTAGTGTTTCCCCCTGTATTTTTTCCTGGAAGAAACACTGACTGATAGTTAAAAACACACACCCCCCCCAAACCAAACCAAACCACCTCAGCAGCCCCTAAGGAATGCTAGCCCCTGCTTTCTGAACAGGGATTTGTTAAGTCGCACAGTCCAATCAATAAACCAGATCATAGAATGATTAGCAGCAGTGTTAGTTAACTTATTCACTGAAAAATAACTCAAACTGGGTCTCAGGTCTTATAAATAAAGGAAATGTTTATAACTGAGTTACAGGTGGGTGACTGTGAGGTCTGCACAGGATTGTGGGAAAAGCACTGACTTCAAGGGTCAGAAGTAGCATTTTCATAATACAGCTACAGATTTTCCTTCTGAAATTAAATTCTTCTGAGACTGTTTTTGTGGGGTCAGCAAAAAGTATTTTAAGTGCAGTTCATCAGCATCCACAAACCTGGCCACCTATTCTGCTGCCTGTATGGGTGAACTCAGGAGAAGTGGAAGAAAGAGGCGTAGTATGAAATGGTTGAATGACTAAAGTAGAAACAAGCACTGGCTCCACCGCTGTCTGTGTTGCTGGAAAAGATACTCCTGTTGTTCTTCTGCCTCCTCACTTCGGGAAAGGGGGTATGGTAGGTTTTCCAAGGTAAAAGGCAGAGAAGGAGCAGGTGCCCTGGAGAATACAGTCTCCTTTGGGTTCAAAGGCTGGCATTTGGAAACACGGCATCATCTGTCTTGGATCCCTATGATTTCAAGGCCCTGTGTCAAAGGACACACACTTCATTCACAGGTACTATGTGAAAGCTTAAATTTCAAGTAGGTCTTGGATTGGAAACAAGTGGGAGCAATGAGTCTTTGGTGAGCACAGGAATATCATGCAGCTTTGGAAAGGGACTTGGCTCTTGTCTTCACCCTGTGTTCTCCACTAAAAGGAAAGATGAAGAATAAACAGCCATCTTTGTCACATTTGCTCAGCTGCTTTAGTCACCAATGTTCGAAATTAAACTACGAGGAATTGAGTTATTTCATTCACCCTTCTTGTCTGAGTAAAAAGGCCTTGGTCAGTGCTACGTCACCACAGCTAAGGCTGCTTTAGGAACCTGGCCTGCAATGCAGACAAGACGGACTATCACAGTCACCATCCAAGTAACAGCCCCTTTGCTGCTGTTACTTGTTTGCTTGCATTCACTTTGTTTTTCTCATGCTATCTTTAAATGTTGTGGCTCTGCTAGCCTCAAAAGGGTGAAATAGTAAATCCCTGATACCCTCTGCAAATAGCAGCCTGGCAGAATATTCTTAACAGATGTTAAGAATTATAACAGGTTGCGTCGCTATTTTCTCTGGGTATTTGCCAAAGGAAGCCCAAAGCATCCCCACCAATAAACTGGCATTTAGAAAAGCACTCCAAAACACAGTCACAGCTGGATGATCTATTCAGCAATATTCTTCTTTCCACTCCCCACCCATCAGTGGGATTTGCTGCAAAATGATTAACTGCCTTACCACCATCTGTGCTCAGGTTCCATTCGTAACCCAGGCATTTCAGGATCCCAGCCCTGCTCAAGCTAAGTCCAATTACTGCTTGTTGATTCATCAGTCCACCTATGCAAGCCTAGAAAACGCAACAGGTAACCAAACACTCTCGGAACAAATTAACCTCTACAAAAACCAGGCACATCACACCTCAGGAACCAAGCAATCCCTACGTAAATAGGTACTTCGTGTTCTATTCCACCAGCGTTAACTCCTGACAGATACAAGGAAAAGCTCAGGTCAGGCCACAGCTGCTTTACACAGGTTGCTGAACAACAAGCCTTTACCTTGCTTGCTGGCAGACGCTGCAAATCCAAGCCTTCTCCTTCTTCTGGTAAGAACTGCAGCTCTTGCAGATGTTGTACTTGCAGTCTTGGCACTGTCGCTTGCTGTTGATAAGAAATGTGAAAGGGGAACAGCAGCGAATACAGCAGTGCTCATTGAACTTCTGCTGCTTGGAAAGGATGCTGCACTTGTTACCCTCTTCATCCAACTTCTGCTTCATTTCACTGGAACAAAAGCACAAGAACAAAAAATATAGACAAAATTTCAATGAGAAATCTCCCCTTTGCTTTTCTCCTCTTCCCACATTTTCAAGTTATACTCTTCAAATAACTTTTGCAGCTGTGAAATAAATGTCAGAAATGCATATTCTAAATCCAGAATTGGGAAGCAAAAACCCCTATGTTCCCTGGAGTCACCCATGGCCAGTCCGTTTAAAACCTCTGAGTCATGAGCCAGGACAAACAATCTCCCTTCACTCAGCTCCAGTGAGACAACCTTCAGGAGAGCTGCTGCTCCAGGTACTCCAGCTGTGCAAAGCCATAGCATCATTTGAGAATTCAAGGCTGCTTTCAGAACACTTTACAAATAAAAAAATCAGTCTATGAAAGTCAAAAGGCTTGGTGCACAGCAATAAAAAAATCCTACTGATCAACGAAAACAAAAAGTGCTAAGTTTGCTTTGTTCTGACCCATGGGATCATATTATTCATAATAGCTCCAATTTGTCAAGGAAGGTTAATCACATAGTTCATTTCAGAGACATTTGGGTGTTTTACTACTTAGGACCAACACTAAGCCAACCGCCAACTGTTCATGAAAGTGTTTGCAGACCCCCTAAAGTTTTCTGTATTCCAGCAGAAGAGCACTTTTATTAAGAAAAATAAAACAAATTGTGTGTGTGTGGTATTCAGTAATTTGCTATCTCTCATTTTACAGTGTTTTTGATATTTTACAAATTAGGTAATACATTCCACAATAAGAGTAACAAAAAATATCCAGAAGGAACATTTGTGTAAGTAGACAAGTCTGCAAACTCATCACACAGTTTTTGTCATGTACCACTAGGATATACATTAAGAGAAAAAAAAAATATCAGGATTCATGAAGAACATGTTAAATATAAGCTTATAGAACAGTGTGTACGTACATATATTGATTCTTCCCATTTCTCAGAATTAGTGGTGGCTACCGTACTATTTCTGATTGCTGGTAAGAACCACTAATAAGACTAAAGTAACACAAAAGTCTAAACAAAATTTAAAGATACCACAAAAGATAGACTAAGTTGCAGGAAGACAGAGTCATGACATGCTGACTTACACTTAAATTAATGCTTAAATATCTTGCTACAGGAAAAAAATAATATGCTTATTGCATACTTATTCAGGGACTCAACCAAGATAATCTATAAGCATCACTATGAGCCAAGTCTGGAATGTTAAAAAAAACCCTAGCATTACTGGGCTATACATCTTCTTATTTGCCATTTCTGTCTCAGACTCATAACTCAAAATAAAAACAGCCTATTCTATGAAAGTCTGACAGGTCAATTCTAAACCTCAAGTCTAAAAGGCAATTAAGGCAGTGATCTAAAGGATGGGATTTTTGAACTTGCACATACCATATTTAACCATACTCCCAACATGCACCTTTTATAAATTTAAAACTTCAAAACAATGTATGTTTCTGCTGTTTGTCCCCTGTACAAATGTTTGGCTATCTTAGACCAGCTGCTCAAACCCAAGTAAATACTCTTTGGAATTTCAAGTAAATAATCTTTCTTTATGATTTTTGTCCAGGTGGCAAAACTTACTTGGTTTTCCACATTTTTACAGAATGTTAAAGGTGAAAAAGGTAAGAGATTATCATGTAAGAGAGGAAATGTCTGAATTATGCAAGTCAAACTGGCTTCCTCGTGTAAACAGATTAAATGGGATGGTTAGACTAGTTTGTCTTATCTCCATTACTCCCTTCTACGGTGGTACCACATGGACAATCTTTCTATGGGAACAGGAGGGGAAGTGAGCTGTTCCCCATGTCGCTCCTCCATCCACTGCACATATCCTGCTGCACAGCAATGGAGTGAGACAGAGAAATGCCTCTGAAGAGGAGGTCAGGTGGGAACCCTGGGTCCCAGGAGAGAAGCTGGTGAGGGCTATATGATACCAGGAGGATTTCTGGCATGGAGAGGAAGTGTCAGCAGCCCGAGATTTTGCAATCTTTGCTTCAGGCTGGAGACCCGAGGCAGCAGATGCTGGCCTCCCTGTAAGATGAGAACAGCTAAGGACTCCAGGCCGGGAAAGGCAGTGAAAGAAGACATTTTTGTCCTCATGCAGCTCTATTATCTCCCAGAATTAGCAACACTGGTATTTGGTAGTATCAGCCTGCACACTCAACATTGGCATGCTCAATGGCATTTTGAACCCTCATTAGGGCTCTTACACACAATAGCAAGATAAACCACAGAAGCAAAGCCACCTATTAAAGTGCCACAATAATGCTCACACAATATAAAAACAGGCAGTTTCATTCACAACAGAGCTGATAAAGCCTGATACCCAGAACACGCTGAGCACACACTGAAGCTTTTTCATCAGTACAGGCATTAATTACATCTCTCTCCACTATCTCGCTGCCAACATTCATTACAGTGGTAGAACCTTAATATCATTAAGGCATCTGCCTCACTGTTAAAAAGGACTAAAATTGGCCAACGGGTTCCAAAAGTCAATAGGATAGGGTGGGACAGGCTGGCAGAGAGCGAGCGAGCATGACAGAAAAAGCCTCATTTCCACAGGAAACCAGGCAGAACAGAAAAGAAAGCAATGCACATCCCTCTGACAGCTGTAACAAATTAAGGTGCTCATGTGCCACCTGCCAAAGGCTATTCTAGTTTCTATTAGGACTCAAATGGCAAAAGAGACTGTCAACAGGATTTGTCAGTTGAAGCCAAAAGGCTACTCTCCCCACTCTTTCCTTGGAACTAAAACATGAGCTTCATACGAAGGCAAAGTGCTGCACAACACTGGTAGGCAACTCAACCTGCCTGGTGTGAGGAAAATTGCATAGTCAAATGGAAAAGTAGGCTCTGATTTACTCCTAGCAATACTGAGAAAACCTCACTTGCATGTGACTTCACCTGGATGATTACTGTGAACAGGATGATTAATGTGAGCTCCAGTCTCAACACACTAAGAAAGTTTGTAGCACTGGAATTCAGGAGGTAGGAGTTGAAGTTCGAGACATCCTGAGTTTGAAAAGCTCAGACTTTACCTTCAGGATGTTCAAATGGCTTGGTGCAAGAAGACTGTAACAATGGTCTAACAAAAGGAAAGCAGTCAACAACACTGATCCTCTCATGCAGTGAAACTCACTTCCAAAGGCATGACAGCCACCTGTGCAGGAACTGACTTCTAAGAGGCAGGTTGAACCACAGAGCCCTCACAAACATTCCCCTTTCCTCCCCATGCAACACTGTTCCCTCAACTAAACACGGATGAGGGGGAGGGGACAGAGAAAAGAGGGAGAATGTATGCGCTTACTTCCCCCAGCATTACTTCCCCAAGGAGGGAACGTAATGTATTTATAGGTGTATTTATCTAATATGTGTGCAAATAAAACAAGCAACAAAAAAAGATTCTGCACAAAAAATTTCCCTTTTGGGGAAAGGACGGAAGAGTGGGAACCACAAATAACAGAATTTATTCACATAACTTAAATCACAACTGATGGTGTTCAGCTATTACAGTTATATGTAACACAGTAATAGGAATCTATGGAGAAGAGAATTCCTGCTGTTTGAATGAATCTCAGATCGGATTTCATTTTCTTTCTCGAGTGGCTGCATTTCACCAATTGCCTATAAATACAAAAGAAGCAAAGAATACTCAATAGATACCCAACAGTTGCAAAGACTAATTTTCTCAAAGAACATTTTATTGAACTGTAAGTTCCAAAACATACAGATGCATATTTAGATTTTTCCAGAGGCTTGTATTAACTAACCTGTGACAGTCTGCATAGTAAATATTTAACTAATTTCAGGCAATGTTTTGGGTGATAGACTTCTGGCACATAATCCCACACAAAGTCAGGTTAGGAATACTTTCTAGCATACTGCATTGGATGTAGGTTTTGCTATTATATTCTGAGGGTGAACAGTCATCTTCCCCTCTTCCCCTGCTATGTTTTTTGCCCCCCCCCCCCCCTTTTTTTTATAATTTAAATATTTTCATTCTCATGGTTTATTTCTTTTTAGTGTCTTAAAGGATTTAACTGAATTTGTGAGAAGTACGGTATTCTGCTTTGCCGGTTTGTACAGTGGTTTACAAATGTTATGGTAGGTTAGGTATCATGTTATGCTGAAGACAGGTACTACACAGCACATTACAAGGGAGGATGCTGTTGAAACGTGGCTGGCGAGTTATGTAGACATGCAGCATGCCTCATTGCATGACTGCTCTTCAACAGCTGGGCAATTGGCAGCCCCTTTTGTTTCTACAAATAACATTGCTTCAGACTTGTAAATGTAGGATGAAGCCTGGCAAACCGAAACTACAGGATTGTTTTCTTTGCTCTTCACTGCCACTGATTTAGAGAGATTTGTCCAAAGTCACCAGCTTTTTACATACTTCATTTTATCTGCTGTACAACAGCAGTAACAGTAAAAGTCGCAGTGACAATAATAAACTTGTCTTATATAAATAAATATATACAGAACACCTTTACAGCATCTTTCATTTAGTGACCATATATAGTCCTCTCCACTGCTGTATTATTGTAAGCAACCTATTTACAACTAATATTCACAACAAATGACCCTCAAACTCTTTTTTTACCACAAGGCCTGACTGCCTTATCTAGCAAAAATTCTGTTTCAAGTTACTTGTACAGTATACAGCTAACTGAATTCCTACTTATTAGCAAGTATGATAGGATTTATTTGGTGCAGGACTGTAATACTGAATGCTCTTTTTGTGCTCTGGACAGGCCTGTTCTAGTGGGATTCAACAGGACCAAGGCATTTTCCCTGTGTGATTGCAAAGGCCTCAGCTTCAAAAACAGGCTGGCAGGTTCAAACATAATTCTTCAACATTTGCCTGAACAATGCCTTCTCCACTAATAAATTTCTTTAAAACAATTGCTTATTGTATATAATTGCACCTCCTGAATACAGAAATACAAGCTTGCTTGAGAAAAGCCTTTCTGCTTTTTTTCCAAATCTC